TAAAGTTGAGTGTCCATTTATTATTTATGCATTTAGACTACTGAAATGACAAAGACTTTCTTGAAGAAAGTCTTCAAGAACCCAAAATTACATTTCAAATTCTACAGACAAAAATGTATTGATTTTGCCCACATTTTTGTCTAAAGTTTGAAATATATGCTCCTTTTCAGAGGCAAAAACTTAAAGCACACTTAAAACCACATTTCACTGCATTGCTGAATGAGATCTGATTACCTCAGAAGCAGCATAAACCTGAAGTAATTCTTTCCCTTGATCAACTAAAGTGGCAATGATAGAGCTTCCTTTGACCAGACGAAGGTGGATGGATTTTTAGAAAGGACTTTAAACGCTAAAATTATTTCTACTTTTTTTAAGAAAAAGCTACATTTCTTATTTTCCCAGATGTAATTATAATATGGTCTCTCCTTCAGTGTGTGGAAGTGACATTCAGATCCAAAGTCCGTGCATTTATGGCCTATGTGAATCCTACCAATCTACATCTTAGTTAACAATTCTATATCCATTTAATATTCTTCACCTATTAAGGGTTTTTTTGCACTAGCTTGCACACAATTAGAACGCTCCAACACAATTATAATGCTCCAGTATACAAATCAACATGGCTATGAAGTTTACCCTGGTTTTAGAAACATGTAAGTCATCTACCTTAAAAGAATCTCACAATTTTTCTGCATTTCAACAGAAAGCTTGATACATGCTAATGTGAACACATACCTGTTATAACACAGATATGCATACAGAAAATAATTCAAGAGGAAAATTGCAGCATTAAAGCATTAAATCAGAAAGGAAAAAATGTTCAACTAACCTATTTACAGGCTAAAATACTCTCTGACCAGTGTTGTTTTTTTTTTTGTAAAGCACAAAATAGTCCCTTGTCTGAGGGCACTAGTATGATTTCATCTGATAGGAAGAAGAGAAAATTTAGAATTAGCATTAGGGAGTTAACTTTAAAAGAAAATGTCAAAGTACAGAATAAGATTAGTAAACCAGTGACGCCACTAATATCACTGTTACTATGCAACTGCTGAAATGTGCATTTTAAACTTCTTAAAAAGGGAAAATACATTCATCTTCAACTGCACAACATATCTTAACAACCTCTTGATTTTTAAGTGTGCACAGACCACTAGTCCTTCCCCTCCTCTAATCTTTGGTAGCAGAGCATCTAAAAGATACTAAGAGTAGGATATTCAATGAGACTACTCTTTTTCATCAAGTTTGTGCAGGATAGAAAGGAACACAAGAATTATGGCAAATACAATTTTACAGCTTACCAACTTCAACAAAAACCCTATTGACAGACTTTCATACCATCCCATCACTGACGAGAATCACTTTTCAGATCCTATACACCTTTGCTGGAAGTTATTACTCTTAAAGAGATGTCATGAATTTTCTTTTTAGTAGCTCTACTTGACTCTTCTTGACTATGAAGTATCACGTACATATGTTAACAAAATTCAAAATGTTTACTGAGTACCCAAAGAACTTGTACAGACTAAGTGGAGTGAATAACATCACTAAGATGACCCTTCAAGGAGAAACATAAGACTAGTTACAATTAAGAAAGTCTTGCAATATGATACTCTCTTTGCCACTGCAAAGTTTCTGCTGATGCGAATTAATACAGTAAAGCAACGCGGTGGAAAGATGCTTTTGCCGTTCTTGTTCAAATAAACAGCTTCAAATTAAAAAAGAATATCCTGCCTTTATGCCTTTTAAATCAATCTCTCATCTACACAAGTAGATAGCTTCACAGTACATGCTTACTTGTGAAAGCTCAGCACTTGAAAAGAAAATGTGACTAATGTAAAATCAAAGAATCAGCAATAGCTGTCCACAGGGAAAGAAAGATCTTTTCATTACCTGAATTAACAATAACAAAAAATTGTCCTAGTTACTCCTGATGACTCCTGATACTCTGAATAGGTTTTAAAATTGTATCTGTTCAGCTGCCATTATCAAGAGACAAAAAAAGTCACCCTTATTATGATGTTATTTTTAAATACATTATGAAAATACAAGAATGAAATTTGGGATCCATTTTTACTAGTTTCAAATCAAATGACTCAAAGATTTGAGTTAGGGGAACATGAATCAAGAAAAGGAGTACTTTAAGTGTTGACCGGCATAACGTATCCTTGCACGTGTTCAAAACTGCTGACACTGTATTTTGAGAAAATTCTGCAACAAATTGGCTTATTTTATAAATACGTTCTATAAACAGTTTATTTGATAATTTTCCAACTGTGCTTAAGTAATGCCTATGCATGCCACTCTACAGGCTTGATTACAGTATTCCTGTCTTGCCTTATTCAGGGTAAGAGTACCTTAACTTCATAAATAAAGCCATATAAATCACTGAAACGGCTTGAAGAATGGTATAGTACTCTACTGAAGCAAAGGAATCTAACATAATTTATACCCTTGAGTTTCTAATAACAACGTGAAGCACTACATATAAAAATGAAAGTGTACCAATATTTCACAGAAAAAGGCTTTAGCAAAGAAATCATGTCCTTATAGCAAATGAAGGCTATGTTTCATCTTTGTAATCTTTATGGATGTAGCATTCTGCTCAAATACAGTACAGTGAAAGATCCGAATCACAGGCTGTTTAATAAGGTAATAAATACATCAAACAACTTACTAATGCATAAGGTTTTCAAGTAAATGTGCACGCCTAAATATATTGTGTTGCCTGCAAAGCTACCTGAAATATTTTTCAATATGTATGTAACTTATGTAAATAGTAGATCAGCTTCTTCAGTTGCTAGAATTGACACCTTTCATCACTAGAGCAAGCTTTAAACAGGCATAAGCCAGAACTGCTGCCCAAATGCCTGGCCCCCATCTTCTTTCTGTCTCTTTCCTTTGCATCAGCAAAAATTACATGTCACTACCGTGAACCACATCAAAGAACTGGTCTGGATCTCAGGACAGCTCCTTTCAGTGCACATGTCGGCTTTCGATGACTTAATCTACAGTGAGAAAGGAAAGTCTGCACTCAAACTCTGAAAGATTTAAAAATTCCTACTGGCAAGATAAAGAAACCATACTGTTTTGGTAATATTAAGTCCCTTCTGAGTTTCTGAATATGGCTATTTTGGTAATATTTGTCTGCATGCTACATTAATAAAATAAGAAATGGAAAAGTTCTAGCTGTAAACATGATGCAACTGAAGACTGTACAACAAACTTTTATTCTACAAAAAAATAAAATAGTTGTTAGAAATGGATGGTATAACACATATGTACAGTAGCCAATTTATTAATGCTTGAAAGATATTAACAAAGATGAAAAATCATTAAATAATACATTGTTTTATACCACTACCAACCAAATTGTTTAACATCTCTCTCCTGGTAATTTACCTAAACCATCAAACTACGAGCAATTTAGCATACTGCCGGTCCCAGTTTAGAAAAACAGATTAACTTTCCGTTTTAAAGAGGCATTTAACAAAATGTTTGAAAAATAAAGCTACTGCCAATATGTGTTTGATTCTGAGTATTTATGTGGTCTATGACTGAAGCCTTTTCAAACTGCACATATTAAAATGAAATAAAGAAAATCCCTTAAGTTCATGAAGTATCCTTACAGCTATTTTGTGCGTTTAGACTTTCACACAACCATATCCGCCTGACCAGAATACTACTAGTAGGTGGTGCAGCAGCATCAGTCAAGTTCTTTGAGCCAGAGTCTGCCCATGAAGGTACTTTTACCTTAAACATTGCTCATCTCAACTCCCGAGACATGTTCTCGTAATAAACACATCAGCAAGGTCTATTACAAAGCAATAGTTATTTAATGCATACCTCACTACATTCTAATGACTACTACTTGCACAATAGATAAAGAATCATTCATTCAAGTTCACTCTTTCAAAGGGCTACCTTCATTAAGCTGACAGTTTGTTTACTATCCAGAATAAAAGTCCCTGTAATTGAAAAACTGAACCATGACACAGCATGAAAAAATACCCCACCACCCAGAGGGAGAGGGCAACACACACATGCGTAACTTGCTTCTATGTTCAAAGGCATGCTTATGCTTTACACCCACATGACATTCTCATACTTTCATCCCTTTGGGGGAAGCAGAAGAGGAATTAAAACTTGCATGTTAACACTTCAATGTTAAAGATCAAAATTCTAACCTGAGCTAAAAACGTTTCTTCTACCAAAGGGGCATTCATGTAACAGAATCTACCCTTGGATCCTATTATGCAAGAGAAAAACAACTTTCTCAAAACTGAGTGAAAGGATGCTTTCAGACACAGAATTTTAACAGAAGTTATGTTGAAAGAAGTTGGTGAAATGCACTTGAGTGGAACAGATTGAAAACCTGACATTACCCTATAGCCAAATCTTTCACCACCAATTTAAAGGATACACAAGCAGCAAAGTAGGTGAAACGGGAGAGAATAGCGCTACTAATTTACCTAAGCAGCCAATTCATCTCAACAATTTAACAAGAGCTTCTACTTCAATATTAAGCCATCAAAACACAAAGCACCCCGCTAATTTCTGTTAAAAACATGGAGGGTTTTTTAGACCAACAACAGCTTTTTACTTTTCGTGCAACATTTCTGGACTTTGAGTCACTAGAAACAAATGACCACAAAGTACTTGAACACTACCACTATCTATCCAGAATACCAAATATATTACAAAATAAGACAATGCAAATATTTGCTTAAGTTTTGGCTTCATGCATATCTGCATTTTAAAAAGTAAGCTAAAATCCTACTGTATATTCTTACAGTATATCATGTTCCACCTTCCAGAAGTAGTAAGAACATCCTAACAATGAGCATGAGAAGGTAAATATGAGCTTGACAGTATTGCAGTGAAATAAGTTTTGTTATCTTACTACCTAAAGAAGGTGAAAGGCAAATTTTTACAACCTAGTTTCATTTCAATTTTATTGAACTGTCTACAATATTCTGTGAGTGCGTGCACATACACAAGCACGCACAGAAAAAGTGGTATCTACAAACAGTTTACACAAATATTTACATACATATGTTATTTACATAAGCTAATATGACTGCATGATTTTCGATGTAAAAAACATATGCTTCTTGCACATATAACTGTTGCATTGGTCTTACAAAAGTAATATAAACCTTTTGCAACAACTAGCTAAGCACATATCATAGCTGATTCCAAGTTTTTAGAGCTTGCAGGTTTTTAAAAAAAATACAATACCTAGAACACTGTTAACAAACAAATATGCTTTATTGGCATCTAAAAACAAAATGCACCCAACATTAAAATGTACTTTTTCATTTTTTAAACCCACTGCAGTACGAGGAACAAATCACAAACACTTACTTTAGAGAAAACAGAGACTATAGTGTAGATTTTACAAAATCACTTTTAATCTCTGTGTTATGCTCCTTAAATAACATGGGCCATTTCTTTTTCTGCCGAATTGTAGGAACATAAAATATCACAGCTTTGTCTATACTTTAAAATTCTGCAGCAGCCTAAAAACACGGACAAGATACACCAGCACCTGTTTTCAAGTATAACAATTTCGATAGCCAACCTAAGGGTAGTATCTAAAAAATTCCATTTTCTTCCATAGGAAGTCTTTGTTTGACAAGCTGTTATTTTATCTTTGTGAAATTAAAAGCAAGTGGGGGCAAGTTTATGCTTTACCAGAGAAATAAAAAAAATGTTTACCTACCATGTTCAAATTAAGAACAGTGTTCTATACAAGTCAGTTGTACAGTTATTTAAGTGAAAGATGAACATGAACATCAGATTAACTTAATTCTGGCAGACAAAAGTGAACTGCTACGGTCCAGTCAGCCATTTATCTATTACAGAGAGATGACAACTTTACAAAAGGTATCTTTTACCTACTGAGTGATGATTATGTCCCCTCAGTTTCTGTGCTTTCTACCACTGGTTCACTTTCTATATCAGCTTCTGTGTCACTCTTCTCTTTGTTTATCTCGACGGAAGATGTCAGTTTTTCATAAAGTTCTGGATCGTCCTGCACCTGTGCAGTTGGTGGCTGACTTTCTGTCTCTGCATTTTCACCGTTTACCTGGGGCATATTATCGGCTTTGCGTTGGGAAGTGGCCCCATCAAAATATTCAAAAACCCGTGGATGTGGAGGGGGGATCCAGTTGTTTGACATTCTGTCTCTTCCAAACCTGTTCCCATTAATTTCTCTGCAAAAATTAAAATCTCTGTCATCCCTATCCCTCTGTCTTTCCCAGGGTCTTCTGCGGTCATCAAAATCTCTGTGAGCATCTTGTTCAAATCCTCTATTCCAACTGGGACCACTTCTACTATCAAACCTGTAGTTTACATGCCGAAATCTCTCTCTGTCTTCATGGAAGCCTTTAGGACCACCATAAATAGGGAAGGCATGATGCTCTCTTTCATCATAATCTCCTCTCTGTCCCCAGTGCTTGTCTGAATTGAAACCAAAATGCTCCCTTCGACCAAGGTTATCTATACCTGGTCTTCCAAAATTTTCTCTCATGTCTACATGTGGTCTTGCAAAGTGTTCTCTTCCATCTACTGGAGGCCTTCCTATACCCTCTCTTGGATCAACTGGTGGTCGTCCAACAGAATCTCTGACATCCACTGGAGATGGTCTGTTAAGATTATCTCGGTTTTCCACTGGAGGAAAGCGATAATCTCTGTCTCCTTCCTGTTTGCTGAATGTTATCGCCTCCAAGTGGTAGTCTTTTCTCTGGATTAGAAATGCTATCGACATTTTGCCTTCCTGGTGTCCCAAAAGGTCTTTCTGTTTGATTAAAAATATCTCCTGGAGGAAAAGGACCTCGAGGTGGTGGGTGAAGAGATGGATCAAGGATTGCTGGTGCTGAATGTTATCGCCTCCAAGTGGTAGTCTTTTCTCTGGATTAGAAATGCTATCGACATTTTGCCTTCCTGGTGTCCCAAAAGGTCTTTCTGTTTGATTAAAAATATCTCCTGGAGGAAAAGGACCTCGAGGTGGTGGGTGAAGAGATGGATCAAGGATTGCTGGAGGAGGAACGATGCGGTCGCGGTGGCACTCCTGGCTGCATTAATGGAAACCTTGGTCCAGGCGAATGAGGCATTAAGCCTGGACGGATATCTATGAGAGGCATTCCCGGCATCCTTTGACTACTAATATTTAAATGAGGCATGTTTTGAACCCCAGCTGGATGCTGCATTGCCAGAAGTCCAGAATTACTTGAAATATTTGGTGGTGGCACTCCCATAAGTCCAGAACTACTTGAAACATTCGGTGGTGGCATTATGAGAAGCCCAGAGTTGCTCGAGACACTTGGTGGCTGTACTCCTGCCAGAACTCCTGAGCTGCTTGAGACATTGGGTGGCTGCATTCCTGTCAGAAGGCCAGGGCTGCTTGAGACACTGGGTGGATGCACTCCAGCTAGAAGCCCTGAGCTACTTGAGACATTTGGTGGTTGCACTCCAGCCATAAGTCCAGAGCTACTTGCGACGCTGGTTGGCTGAACTCCACCAGCAAGAGAAGAGCTACTGGAGACAGTAGGTAGCTGCACTCCTCCTGCAAGACCAGAACTGCTTGAAACAGTTGGTGGTTGCACTCCTCCTACAAGTCCAGAGCTGCTTGAAACACTGGGTGGCTGTACTCCCCCTGCAAGTCCAGAGCTACTTGAGACACTGGGTGGTTGCCCTTCTCCAGTAAGCCCAGAACTGCTTGAGACGCTGGGTGGCTGCACTCCTCCAACAAGTCCAGAGCTACTCGAGACATCACTTTGCACTAAAATGCAGCAACAAGAAGAACAGTTAACAGAAAATGCCAGTGTAACACATAGCATTCAAAACAAAACGCAGCTTAATCCATATTCAGTTAATGCATTCAGTGATGATACTGCTCACAAGGTCTGTCTCAGTTTCTATCATGAACATACATCATTTTAATCACATTGGTGATCAACAGACATAACACCACAGAAATGAACGTCTCTACATAGTAAAGAATATACAGCATCTTAAAATTGACAAACCCCACAGCCATCATCCAATTTATGAAAGGGAAGTATTAAAATCTTTGATGTAATTCTATAAATGTTATACTATCCTGCCCTCTCCTGCTCCTTTCCATTGCCACTTGTGTAGCAATAATGCAGTTTTAAGAAGTTTCCTGAAGGGCTCCCAGTCTCAGCTTTACTTCTCGAGTCTACGAAGAAAACATCCCTGAGCATAAGCTGCTAGAAATCAATGATCAGATGATGACAAAGATGGTTCCCACCACTCCTCCAACTTAAACTGAAAATAATACTCATCCTAAAACTGCCTACTCTGCAGTTACTAAGTGCAATGGACTACAATCTGCAAAAAGACCCTCAGAAGTATGATGTTTCCTGTATGCGATCATATCAGACAATAAAGACATTTCCTACCAGATCTATTGTTTTCACTGGAAGAAATCTGAAGGTCTGGAAGATGTGATCCCTTTTCATCTGATTCTGGTTTGTTCACTGGCAGAGGATTAAAAATGCTTCCAGCAGATAACGTTGGAGTAGCTAGATTGCTAGTAACTGTGCCAACTGGTAGAACAAGGCTAGTAAAAGGAACATCCTTCATCGTCTCTTGTGCAATGGGTAATGGAGGCTGTACTAAAGCTGTAGAGAAATAACAGAAGTGTATCACAGTAATCATATATTCAAGCCTTCAAGATTAGTTTGGCAGAGGTCAGGCTGATAAATCAAAATAAGTGAAATTAATTACCCTAAGTGTTACATTTTTTTATAGCAATTTCTTATCCTCAATCAGTACTGTAATATTTAAATTTTTTGTAGAGACCATGAACTGCAGGCAACCTATGCAATCTGTACTCTTTAACAGATATTTGTAAACTTCAAATGAATACAGTTAAAAGGCTAAACAAAAATAAATTATTATAAATTATTCAGTGACTAACACCAAATAGCTCAAGCAACAGATACATCTGTTACAGACAGGTTCAAATATTGAACTATGCATACAAATGATAAATAATTAATTTGCCGTAATTTTTCTCCCCAGTAACTCCACAGTAAGTATCATTTTTCAGTCAACTTGAAAAGCTCTGTAAATCTTTTTCTCAATACCTGCTTAAACCAGCTAAACAAAACTTCTGTGTTGCTATTTTCCGTTAAACAGGATTAACTTGCTTTTGATTAAATAACAAGTATATCAAACAATTAAGCTTTTCATAACACACAAACAACTATTAGAAGAATCAAACTTACGTGTTGGAACAACTGGTGGGACAACAGGTGGCGGGACCACAGGTGGCGGAACCACAGGTGGAACTGGGGGAGGCATATAACCTATATGGAAAAAAAAAAAAGCCAAGTTATTACAAGGGAAGCAAATAAAGTTTTGCAGTAAAAGCTTTTCTGCATTATTCATCCTGAAAAGCTGCATCACTGAAGACTAGCAAACAACAAATGTATGGTAAGAGACAATGATGGTTATTGTTTTCAAAAACAATCCCATCTTTACTGTAGATTATCTGCATGTGCATCTTTAAAAGTGATTTCTGCAAGTAATATCCAAGAATAAAATTAAGAGTTTCAAAATTTTCCAAAGAAAGGAGATTAATCTTAAGGGTTTTTAAATTTTCATTTTTATCAAAGTTCAAAAAGAATTCCTATTCTCAACAGAATACACTGGTAAAAATAATATTAAGTTAGACATAAGAAATTTCATACTAGATTAAAATTAAAGATTCAAAGGTCAACTGGCTCAAAGAGTAACCAGAAGCTCATGGAAAACTATAGAAAGCATGATGTGCGTAGAAGCACACAAACTGAGTATACTCATTACACACCCAACTCCACTTTTACTAACTTACCTGGAGGTGGCTGTGAAGGGTTGAAACTTGCTCGCAAAAAGGGTGGAGGAGGAATTGCGCTATAACCAGGAGGAGGGACAGACATTGTGACAGGAAACGCAGGTGGAACCAAGCTAACAGCAGGCACAGCTGGAGCTACTGGAATCTTTTTTCATGGAAAGAAAAAACAAGCAACTTCAATACTTAACAGTAGTCAATGACATAAAAAGAGGGATAAACTGATTTGACTGCAATTCATGTTAAGCACTAAATGTACTAAAGGCTTTGTATATATTCTGAACACCCTGAAGAATTAGATTGCATTCTGAAATGGTACATACACTACAGATAAACAAGGTCACTGGAAAAATCCTATGCTATCTTTTCTTTATTCTAAAAAGAACAGAAAAATACACGGTTAAACACTATACTTATTCAAGAATAAAAATTTACCTATGGGAGAGAGATGAATGCAGAAAGGGAGAGAGAGAAAAGGAAGGAAAATGTAGATAGTGTGGCAATTTGAGAGCACTTAGAAAACAGTGATTCTATTCTCATTAGAAAAATTTACGTATTTTAGAACAGTACTTGAAAGTTGAGTTTAGTGCATGTAATTATAAGGCTAATGATCCCGATGAAATCCTGAGAATTACTCAACATTTCTCAAACTTCTGTTTGAGCCATGTGTTTTGATACAATGCAGCATAATTACAAGTAATTAGCAGTAGAATAAAAGCATACATATATGTATATTTAAATATATTCTGATCACAGTGTACACTAGGAGACAGTTGAAATAAGAAGAATGAAGACAATTTTTGTGAAAAGAAAAAAGCTCAAAATTCAATGCAAGTAAATGCAAATATGTTAACTTTCATAGTAATTTTATTTCAGCTCAAGTATTAGAAATATCTATACACGTTAGGAAAGGTAAAACAGTAATAATATGAATAAAAAAAGATTTGTATTAAGCAACTGCTTCTCATTGTACAATTTCACAATTTGACAAAAAGCATTTGTATGTATACTTGATAAACATGTGTAGTGTAGTATACTCGAAAACTTACACTGTATTCTTCTAGCCTTCCACAATACCTTGTTACTGATTGGATGTTAATAAAAATTCTCTGTTTTAGCAGAAGGAAAAAAAATATACCAGAGAATCAGAGACTCTCATGAATTACTGCATATAGAATGCAACAGCACACTACTTGAATAATCAGATCTTTTAAAGATGAGACTGTCCCTATGAAATCCTGTCCAGAATTACTGAGAAAACAATTAAACATATTCAAAGCTGACATGGGGAAAAGCACAAGTGAAAAAAAGATTATTGCACTGCTTAGCTTACAGAAAGATGCTTTGCTCTATAAGCAAAATACTTTCTGTAAGCTCATTTTAATTTCTCCTTGAAAAACTAACATGCCTTTTTTTTTTTTTTTTTACAATTGCTCTGCCTTCAACATTTAAGCCTTCATTTGAGATTGTACACAAGTTTGGGATATGTTCTGCATGAAAGTAAAGATTTTGCTCAACCACAGCAACTGGTAATATCTAAAATACTTCAGAGATAAACACACATGGACTGAAGTATTTTTGATTTAAGTACTTTAACTCAGCATTAAAGTTTATTTGCATTGAATAAAAAGTTTGCCCTCCAGTTCTGTAGGGTTTTTGCAAACTTAGACCAATACAAACCTGCAGCATAGTGACTGGTTGCGTGTAAGCTTCTGTCTGCGTTGTAATAACTGCACTCTTATCAACTGCAGCACTCTGCGTAGTTTGAGTATTTTCTTTAGCAGCTTCTGAGCTTCTGGCTGTTTCCCATTCTTTAAAAAAAGGTATATTTTTAATATAAAAAGAAAATTAATGTATTATTTTTGTTTAAATATTAAAAAGTGCTCTTCTTTCTTAAACAATAAATTTTAATCTGGTACCTATACAGAGTCATTACAAATAACCCCCAAACTTATTATGAAAAGAAGCAAGTGCAATTATTTATTATTATATATTTTAAAGAATGTAACGTATTTTTAATCACCTGCAATACTCTGTTTAATTATGCCTGTATACAAACAGATTTTTCAAAACTTGCCAAGTTTCTTCACCAATCATTCTGTTAATAATTTGTAATATAGAGTATGCTCCAGTCTTCTAAAAACTGCTGTTGTCAACTCATCTGTGTTATCAGCTGGCTACCGTACAATGACAGAGAATCCTCATGTTAAACAAACCTCACCCCAACCCCCATTTCTTCCTTCTGCCACTTCCTCAAAAAGTTTTGTATTTCAAGTATAACATAGTGAATGTATTTTGATAATGTTTCATGTTTTAATATTTCTGTCATTTATATTCAATTTTTACTCAAAGCAAGACTGCATTTTGACCTGTAAAATTACTGTTGCTATTATAAACCAGTTTTAATCTACTGCTTACTTCAGCATAGTCCAGTCATTTGGTGCTAGATCTGCTTCAAGAAAACACAGTACTCGTGAATCTTTTACAAATCTAACAAAACTCTCAATTAACTGGCTTTCAGAGTAAGGTCTAACATTACTTGCTTTCCTGCCTCTTTGACTTTATGGAGGAAATACCTTAAGGTTCAGCCAAGCTGTGCCTATTTGAACAAGTTTCAATGCCAACTTAAGTCTGATATCTGAATATAAGACTCTTCACAATCACAAGTAGATCATAATTTCTACACAAATTAATATTTTATGTACTTGGAAATGAGTACACAGCAAATTCATAACTGTTTTAAAAAATGCTAACCTTTATTAACTTGCTTAAATTAATTCCCCTTTGTCACTAATTCCTTATTGTCATGACAATCCATTAGTACTCATCTACAAAGACAATCTAGATTTCATGATTACAGTGCCATTTATACTGTAAACAAGCAGCTAGTAAAATTTCTGTAAATTGAAAAAGAGTATGTATTACCTAAAACAATAAACTTTCTGAGGATCTGCAATTACCAAAATAAACACATTTTCTTACTAGGAGAATCATTGTTAATGTCCGTACCTGTGTTTACTGTCTCCTGGTCAATCATGCCACCTTCAGCAAAGCCCTCCAAATCATCCAATTTTACTTTCTCCCAAGGAATATATGAAACTCCCAGATCCACATCCCAGAATTGCTTGTATTCTGTTTTCACACCTTTATTCAAAGCCCAGGCAATCTGAAAATAAAACCCAACCAGAGAATCTGATTAAATCATATAACCTGTGAACAGAGTATTTCAGATCATTTCCTTCATGTTTCTGTCACTGCAGATCAATCTTCAGTTTTTAATTTTAAATGAACCTGTAGGAAGTTTACTTCGCCTCTGCAACAACAGGTATGTGGAAAGATTAATTACATAAAAAAATCTTACATTTGTTTTACATTAATCCTAACATATATATGGGGAAATTAAAAATACAGTATTTCAAGGACTCATCCTAAAGCATCAAAGAAAATAGAAAAAACCACAGCATTTAATCATATACTTATACTCATATTCTATGAGAATACTATCAAATTTAACATTAAGTGATCCACATGGTCAGGTACAGGACTTGGGTTGTTTACAGTCTTGTACTCTTATCACTAGCACGTACATAAAATGTTCTCCAAGTATTTCTAAGTATCACGTCATAATTTCATTTTACTATCTTCGATATCGCCTGTTAAAAGCTGCATTTTACACAGAGAGAAAAGAAAACAATTTACACCTTATTGCTTCATTTTTCTTCTCCATATTGTACATTTGAATGAACAGCTGCTAAATGACAAATCATGTTAAAACTGTACTGTATTTGAAATGGACAGCATCCTTAGATTAAAATCAACTTACCTTAATAATTTTAGACCCAATTTTATAGGACCCAGAACTAAGTTTCTGAAGAGCACGATACGCATCTTGTCTATGAACCATGCAGACATAAGCACAACCTCTTGGGGGAATCATCTATGGAAAAAAAGCAATGGTCTTAAAAAGTAGGAAAATCAGTACTTCAGATGACATAACAACACTAAGTGAATACTAATACTAAAAAAGAAAAGGCCTACACTGTAAACACTCATTACTTTAATCATCAATATTACTGATTTTGAGCATCAGCAAAACTTAAGAGTGATATTGGCAGGGTACTTCATTTATAACATTTTCAAGAAGCAGCAGCAAGTTGAAGAATGGGTGCTAAAAATGACATGAAAGATTTGAACGACATGGAGCAGGCAAGAACTGGGAGCTATACTATGACAACTTCAGAAAAGCAGAAGTTGTTTCCTATTGTTAAGCTCCAAATTCACCATGAACTGAGCAACAACCTTTCACAGAGGTGCAAATCAGTGATTAAAAGTATCTTGCGTTTTTGAAGGGTAGAGTCCTCATTCCTGAAGTGTGATTTCCACTTGCTTTAATGTTTTATTTAGTAAAGAAAAGTATGATGTGGCATGTAACCTTTGGAAGTTTGCAAATCATGCATGACAACTGCTTATTTTAGTTTTATTCAAAAGTTATAAAATATAGGTGTGCTTTTATGTCGTTTAGGAGCACACAGTAACATAACAAACAAAAATATTTAAGATTACATTTCAGTGCAGTTGTTACAAAAATACGTTTAAGATATACAACAACGTTATCCTAGGTACTTAAAGCTTTGTGGAATGCATAGGATGAACTATTTACAATATGGTTTGCCTCTGAAATGTAACAGGCACTGGGACATTATGATTGTGACATTACTTTCCTTTGAACTTTCTTAATTGCTAGTCCCTGCAAATCAAAATGAGGCTTAAATGTCAGGCTATGGGGTTTTTTTGACTTGTGAAGCTTTTTAAAAGATTCTGTAATGCCACAAAAACTGTTCCTTTTTAATTATATATCTGAATATATTAACGTGATAGGAAAAATAGTAAAAATAATATCTGAAATGAATGAAATTGCATGAGAAGCACTTTAAAACTGCTGGAGCAAGAGACAAAAATCCAAATTTCTCTCACCTAGATATGTTATTTTAGGAGAAAAATACTTTTCTTCAGCTGAATTATAGGCAACATTGAAGTACGACTCTAAACGTCTACATCTAAATGACTCTAAATCATGAGAAATATATCTCCTAATTATAAGCATCTTTTTAATTGTCACATTTTAGAGTAAACACTTGTTTACAGTACAATTTTTCTTCTAAATGTTTTATCCACATTGATTCCACTTAAGTAACCTTCTGTATGGAATGTAACCAAGAGCAATGTGGATACACGTCAGTTTGTGTCCGTTAGTCCAAGGAAAAATGATACCTGCCCTGTGCACATCACAAAAAGAGAAAAAACATAAAACTTTTATTTGTTAAGACCCTGGTTCAAAAAACTGTAAATTGTTAGTGCTTGGGAAAAACCGTTTTACCATGAAGTGCACTATCTTTAGCGCTTCAAAAGACAGTACATGGAAACCAACAAGCAAATATCATAGCCACAGTTTTTAAACAGTGATAAAAAACCCCAGTCTCCTAAATACAGGCTTAAGCTGCTAAAAGGAATTCAGAGGCATAAGCATGTTTAAGTTGCTAGTCTGTAATCCCTGAAAATGCATTGATAACATGCTTACTTACATTAATAGACTCTATTTGTCCAAATTCTTCGAACAAGTTAGTTAAATCTTGCTGTGTAGCCTTCTTGTCTACTTGACCTACCCAAAGAGTAGTACTGCAAACTGTCAAGAGATAGATTCATGTCAATCAAAATACTAGAATGTTAGCTTATAAAATACTCTATAGGATGGATATAAAAGGCTTTAGAATTGCACAGAAATCACTGATCAAAAAGCAAGAACAGTAAATCTACTACTCACTATATAGAGATTAAGTACATTAACAAAAACGTTAAAATGTTAAAAGACACCGAACGGATTCTCAGTACAAGTGTTCATTCTTCTTGTTTCATTTTGTTTTAAACAAAACAGTAGTTTTAAAAGAAATGAAAAAATAAAATTCTGTAGATTATTAGCTAAGGTAAACTGCAGTAGAAATTACTACTAATCATTTTTATTCCATTTTCTATAAAAACTATGCCTGTAGGATTTAAAGTCAGTTTTAACAAAGTAAGACTAAGTTCTAACTGGCTAGACGTGCATTACAGAAGGAACTTAACCACAGTATTATGCACTGCATTTTCACCTGAAAGAAACGGAAACTATACTTTTACTTTACCTTGGGGAACATCCCAGAAACACAAACCTGGCTGAAGCCCACCACTGAGCTGAAGATGTCCATGATACTTCTGACCCTTTTCAATTCCATCACAAGCCCAGATCCCAAGCAATTTGTCTCCCAAATGCCTACCCATGTCCCCTTCACCAAATATAAACATTCACTTGTGAGCTTGAACTTCCTTCTCCCATATGTACATGGTTCCAATTCTTTTGTCGTCCAAATATTACCTAATCTATGTGTGCAAGCCTTGACAAACTCATAGCAGTTATTTCCACTTAACACAGGGTGATCTAAATCAGCAAGAGTTTAGGCCAATATTGGTAGTTTTCCTCAAATATCTTACTACCCTGAGTAATCCACCCAGGATCTTCAAGGATCTAAGGCAGAACAAAACCAGACAACCTGGACCTCTTGGGCCTGCCCCATCCTGAACCAAGGATTTCTTCATCATCATCTTGATACATCACACGTCTTTCCTGTATCAATCTGGACACCAGTGTTGTGTGTTCCTGTGTCTACTGACTTTTTCAGCTAACAGCAGTACTCAGTAGTACTGAGAATGACTAGCCTTCAGATTTCTCTTGAACAAAACTTATTCCTCACATGCTTGTAGATGGCCCTTTTGTTTCTCATGGTGTTAAGCTCTATGAAACAATTCTTCAGACCTCAGCAAGTGATAACAATGGCTGCCACTGAACAAATTTCGTGAAGTAAAACATTTCTCAGGTGAATTACCTATTTATTTATTTATTTACCCACCCGCAAAGTTTCCACACTTCACTTAGCGTTCTTAATATCTCCTTTCCATGAGCCAGGTCACTTCACAGGACCTCAATCGCTGCTGTTGTTCATCAGGTTACTTAACATCCTTACCTCCCAGTTCCCATCCATTCTGATTATAGCTCCCTGCTTTGTGGACTACTGGGAGAAATCTACACCATAAAACTGATTTGCCTCTTTTCATGTGAAATGCCAGAGAAGAAAAAATATACATCTAAACAGTAGTAAAGTCCTGAGTTTAATATTTTACATCATTCCAAGGTGGCTTTAAT